GCAGTCAGAGTTTCAAAATATGACGGGTTCCACTGGAATCTGAATCCATGATAATCCAAGCAATTCCTCTGAGAGTATGGAAAATGTCAACCAAGTGAATTAAGACAGAGGGTAATGGTAGTTTTCTAAAATAAGAGGTCCTCTGGGTTAAGAGGTGCAGCCTAGAACTGTCACAATGAATCTACTAATTAATTTCTTCTAATTTTTATGTTTATATAAACTTACCAAATTTCCTTTTCCTACCTAACTCCTAACATTTTTTTGTTTTTATACTCAAATTAGAGATTTTCAAAGGATTATAGCAACACATTAAGGAAAAGTGTCAAAATGGTAAGATTTGTGTCAGCTAGTCAGAAAATGCAAGAGTATTGGTTATATCACTTTCCATATTTTTCTGTAAGTCTGAAATATTTATAATAAAATATTAAAGAGATGCTTATGCCTTGGTAGACTGGACATCAACACATTGCCAACAATTAAAAATATGGACAAGGCTGAGCAGTTCTAGAGTTTCTATCCCAAACATTCCACCCTCAAGAATATAAAGCAGAACTAAAACCAAGAAAGCAGGTGCGACGGCAGCTAGTTTTTACACCACTATTTTTCCTTGATCATCCTCTTTCTAAAAAATTATTTCCTATAAAAATGTATATAGCCATGATGTAAAGTTCAACAGATTTCCACCCCAAAGAGTTAAAAATGCAGTTGCATATTGTAGGAACACCAGGCAAAGCCTACCAATCCATCTGAAAAAAGGGGGAAGGATCCTGCTGGATCTGCCTTACCCAACAGGACAAATTCAGAGGCTTGTCTGAATGCTAAGCTGCTGAGAAAGAAAAACCCTGACACCTAGTGCCCATTGGAAAAAATGAAGTCTTGGAGCCACTATAATTCTTAATTTTGTGTGTGCAAGTGATCATTAAATTGCATTCAATTTGGAGTAATACCTATCTTCCTGAAAAATGTTAAGGGAAAAATTTAATACCATGCAACGATTCTAGTCTCTAATTACCAAACCTTTTTGGAGCATACATCCTGTACCTAATAGTTATAACTGCTTCTAAACACAGCATTTCTCATCACATCTCAGTTTTTCATTACAGCAGGAGTGATGAGAGGCAATGGGATGGGTTCTATTAAAAAGGCCATGTTCTGAAATAATAAGGTAAGCAGGGTCCTAATTTCTATCTTCACTAAAAAAGCTACTATAAAAGGTACATCTCTATGACATCTTTCGTCATTGCCCGATTTAGAGATTCATGATCTAGTTCACAAAACTGTTCAGGAAATATAACAAAAGAATGTGAATAACATTTCAGAACAAATAACATAGTCTCAAGAAGGCCAGTGTTTTCTTTGTCCTACTAGGCAAAGTTAAGTTGCACTGTCAAGTCGGTTATAGCCCTTGGCTTGATCTTAGCCTGACTGAGCCTTTTGATAACAGGATTTAGTGCGAAAAGCAGCTACATTGGATTGTGAACTGTTACTCAAAATGTTCCCACCTGCAATTACAGCTTCCACCAAATGATCAAAACAGGTTAGCAAACTGGCAGGAAAATGAAAACAATTCCCCCAAAATTGAGATGTGGTAAGAGTGGAACTGCTGGTTAGCTGCATCTCCTCTGTATCCAGGCTCAGCAGCACAGTCACCAGCTGCATATTTACATACAGTGCCCATCACTGTAGCATTGTGAAATCAGCTAGAAATGAAATCAGTTTAGCCTATGCTGCAATCATATTTTCCTCAATTTTCATCTTTACTTGAAACTATTTTTAAAAATTCCCGAAAAATTCGTCTCTGGAGCTATTTGCAAGTAACATAGTTCACAGATTTGGTCTACATCTTTTATTCCTACTCTAAATTCATACTAAACGCAATGCCATTCAAATCTGACAATGAGAAAAATGTGTTCTCCTACACCTTTCATCATGCATAAGGTTACACCTTTCTTGATGGCAAAGGGACAACTAGGAAAATGGAAAGGAGAAAGTAGCTAACACTATATCAGAAAAGCTCTGTTTCTCCTGCTTTTAACACGGGCACAATGTTCAAAATGCAGGTCACATCTCTGCTGAAACAGCCAATATTCTTCCTCAAATGGAACACAAGTTACCTAAAACTAAATGGAACTGAATTGTTCCAAGTCCTGGACCCATCACCATTTTACCTATTTACTGTCCTGGAAATAAAAAATAAGGAAGAAAGACTGGCCACCCATATAGCCAATGGTCTGATAAGTGCAGGTTTGCTGCCTCTGATTATGGGGAAAAGCATCTCAATTCATGGGGAAACTCTGCAGGAATCTCTTGTTTTCCCTTTTTTCCCTTATAGCCATGTGTTAGCTTTTAGACCCAGGAACTCCAATCCTTCGAGGTAATGTGATATCACCAAAATGATGACCTGGTAGAGCCATCACCTTTGGAGAACACTACATTATAATGATTTAAATGTCCATGTAGCATCAGTGTATTTACATTGAGCCTTGGCTCTCAGAATATTAACAGTTCAATTTTTTACTCCTTTTTTAATAAAACTATTTCTCAAGGCTCTGTTCCGATGCCCATTCTCTTTGGGACAGGACAGATTTGCACCACATCTCATCGGCATGAGCTCTTTTCTTTCCCCTCACATCATTCTTGGGGTAATGTGTAGAGTGCCAGGCTCATGACAAACTTGTCTCTTTGGCCTAAGAAAATTAAACCGTAATAGCTGAAAGTCAACTTGCCTGGATAAAACCGGTCTCAGCATGAGGGAATACATCGCATTGACACTGTGTTGTCTCAGGCACAGCTGTCCCTCACAGTTCTGACTGCTGAAACTCCCATCTTTAGATTGGTCAGTCTCTCAGTGGACATGCTTCATTGTATGTTCAAGCTATTGGTAACAGCGTTTGATACTAATACCCCAACCTCACTCCTGCTGTGCAGTGTCCTATAATCTAGCTACAGCCACTGACTGACTTCACCAGCCATCGAGGGCATCAGTCACTAACTGTTCACAAAAGAACACAGGTCTCAGTTCTCCTGAGCTCAAAGACTCAGAAATAGCAAACTAACACTCAGCCTCAAATCCGATCGTTTGAAGAAAAGGAAAAGAGAGAACAAAGAAAACAGGCAACTAAGGAGGGAAAAGAATAGAAGAAAGTGAGAACTGACAAAAAGCAAAAATAATTTTAATACTGTTAAGATTTCTGGATTTCAAGATTATTAAGCACTGGGCAAAGGGAAACGTGGTTCCTATACTGACTCTACTACTTCTGGCCGTATAAAAGACATCTCTTTTCCATCAAGGTTTGGTGGGTCTTAAAGGGGTTAAAAAAACCTTTAATTTTTTTTATCCGTGGTGTGTGTGTGTGTGTGTGTGTGTGTGTGTGTGTGTGGTCTTTGGGTCCAGAGTCCCGTATAATAAGACTATTTGTATTCATACTGGCAGAGTAAACACTACATGTTCATGCCCAGGCAGCTCTGTGCTTGTAATTTCAGCAAGAACAGAGCTCTGTCCCTCTGGGACTTCACTATTCCCCCAGTCTCCATTCGCTCAAACACAGAATGAGAGCGGAGAGAAAGCAGGAGAGAAAGATCATGGCAAGAGGTTTCACACAGCACTGCAGCTAGCTTCCATGTGGCCCAAAATCTCATTTTGTGTTTTAATTACATTAGTTAAAACCGTTTTCTCTCAGCTCCATGTTCACAAGGGTGCCTTCTGTTCTTGAAGACTACGCTGTTCAATGAATCAGAATTTAAGTCTAGCACAATGAAGCTTTTCTTTGCTGTTGAGGGACTCACCAAGTACATGCTACACACAGTGGCACAAACCTCTGCTTCAACTTTATGTGCTAATGAGTATATACCTACTCTTGTCAAAATTCTATGCATCCTTCCTCGCTAGCCTCTTGCCTTTGCTACTTGTCAAGGTGTTAGATTAGAAGAACTCCTCCAAGTCTGATACTTTCCATCTGGTCCATGACTGCATCCATCTTAATACCAAATCATCCACTTCTGGTACCCACTGGTGTACTTACTGAAACAGCCATATGCCTTGTACACAGAGTAACATTTTCTTTTTAATAAGATACTGCATAAAATTGAAAGATTGCTCCTTCTAAGGCAGGAGATTTATCTAGGATTATATCTAAGGTTGAAATAAAAACATATCTCTTTTTAGGTTTGTTACTGTTAATCATTGTTGTTGTTAACTGTACATTAGAAGCATAGTTAAAATAAGGAAAAATATCAATGCATGGAGGTGGATATAGGATATTGGGAAAGAAAATAACTTTATATCATTATTAGTAGTGCACTACAGGAGAAAGGACTCCAAGGCTAGGAAATACATTCTTGAATCTGAAATGAGTTCTCTGTTCTTTTTTTTATCTTTAAAGCACTGGTTCTGAATGAGTCCCTTTAAGAAGAACGTATTTACCATGCTCACAACAGCATCAGATCAAGTCACTTGAGCATAAGAAACATACCAAAATATGCATACTAGTATGCAAATAGACATCCAAGTAAAGAAAAAACATCAAGCAAAATACTTTAAATGCTCTTATGATAGAAAAATCTCAAAATTTCAAACATATACAAAGAGAGAGAAAAGTATCCTATGTATCTATCATCCAACTTCAATCGACAACTCATGGCCAACCTTGTTTCATCCATGCTCCCACACTCACCCTCCATTATTTTGAAGTAAATTCTACATATCAGATCATTTCATCTGCAACTATTTCATTATATATACTTAATAGAAAAGAATACTCTTTTTAAAAGGCAAACTAGAATATTATTTTTAAACAAAGCAGTATCATTACCACACCAAAAAAGTTAAAAATAATTCTGTGATAACCAGTTAATGTTCTCTCTCTGAAAGAATTCTACCAATAAGACTACCATGCTGCCTACTACTTGGATCTAAATTAACACTTTAATGACCATCCCATGAAAAGCTGGTACCAATGGGCACAGGGTTAATAAATGGGGAAGGGGACTCAACTACTTGCCTCATTTCCTCCTGGAAGCCTGTTCATGTGGACCAGTTGACCTTGATCATCCAACACGAGTTCGGTGTAGGTCAGCATGTCAGAAGGCAGAGGAGGTGAAGGAAGGAATGCTTGAGCGGACATAGACTCCCAGAGTTTGATCAAGGACTAGCGGAGGAGAGAAGTTTGACTAATCAATGACAATTAGCATTTCAACGTGGATAAAAATGTTAAGATTTGGTCAAGCTGGTTTTGCTCTTTCTTTCCCAAGTATTCTACTGAGTATCTCTATACATCAGAGCAAATTCTACAGCTCTCATCCTCAGTTAAAATAGATTTGTTATTTTTCACACAATGTTATTTTACATGCCAAAAATCAGGCATTTTTCCAACAAAATCAAACTACTGAGTGATTCTGAATCACTAGAGCATTAACAAATACACCAGACCTAACAATATCCCTGGAAAATTATAATAAAAAACTAAGTATCAATCTCCTTTAAAAAAAAAAAAGAAAGAAAAGTACTAGAGAAACTTGACAATAGAAGAATATAACCAGAAAAATGACATAACACTCAGCTAATACCAAGAAATCTCAAGAAGGCAAGAACAAATTCCCACTAGAAGTTCAGGAGAGGCATCCTTTTTCTAGTATCTTTTACAAGCTACAAGCCCGTAAGCAGGAATAAGCTCACTAGAGGTGTATGACTATTTGTAAGTGTGCACATCAATTCTGCTTGAATTTGAGAAAAACAGATAAATACACCTTATCCATTGAGAAACCATCATGATTTCCATTTCCAACTTTCTACCAAAACAAGTACCTCATGAAGTGGGAACTACTTCTGTTGTTTCTTTGCTTACCTTAACTTATTTACACCTAGATGTCCTAATCATTATATTTATGTCTATAGATATTCTATAGGAAGAATTGTATAGAATGTGATTTTTACTTATAGCACTGGCCTTGAGAAACAGAATCAACACTCAGCTTTTAGGCTAACAGTTGCCAGTGATACTAAATGAAGTTAACTGTGTTTCAGGAGAGAGAGAACTTATAAATGAGTGGATACATAAGGAAATCTCTTATATTTGTGAATAATACAAGAACTACAGATAGACTATTTACCAAGACCACATATATTACCTTAGTAAAATTCAAATGTGGTAATACTAGTGGTATTAACTAGATTTGGAAAAATTCTAAATTCACAGGCTTTTTTAAGGACAAATTCACTATTCTTTTGATACCTTATTTTTTACCTGCAGCATTTTTTGCTGGTGATATACTTTTCTTGCCTTCTATTGATAGAAGAAAAATCTGCAGCATAGAGTTGATTCATCATACAGATCAAAGGAATTTATTTTCATATAGAGGATAAGATTCATAATATCATATTTTCTCATGCTAGTTTTTATTCAGCTATAATAAATTTCCCCAAAAGAACTGATACTTTAAACTGTGTATCATGAACTCTATACCTATTTGTATATGTTATTGATTCTTATCATATTAACCTATGCTATGAGCTAGAGAGACTTCGGTTATCTCGGAAAACAGGAAAATGAGAACTAGAGTTTTAAACCTCTTTAATATCCATAATTTACATACGGGCTTAGGAAATGTATACCTGAACATAACTCCTCATACAGGTCATTGTAAGCTACCATCACAGGCGTGTGGTCTCAGGTCTCAGTTTACTCTCACCTACTCAGTAGAGGCTGCTCTCCTCACTATTCCTCCTGTGAGTTCATACAGAACCATCCAACATCTAAGTTAGCAGTCCCCAAATCCCAAATAAAATAGAAATGAGAATAGCATCAAGACATTTCCTGCCCATTGGGAGTGCATCATTCTGGTCTGAGCTGCATCTGAGGGGGAGTCAAACAAAACCCTGCCTCTTTGGAATATGCCAGAGCCCCCCAGTTAGCCACCATTACCTGTCGAAACATCTCTGGGATATCATATATGTATGTTGTTCCTAGGGATTGTGCCTGGAACCTCTTTGATTGAAGCAGGTCTTTGGTCACATAGGGAGTGTTGATTAACATTCCATGTAATGGTCCCTGTTTGTCTCCATATGCTTGAAACATGATCTGCAGGAAAAAGAGGATGGATGGCACGGGGAGTTGAGACAGAGAAAAAAATCAGACAGCTGTCTAGAAAGGCTTTTCGCACAAATATTATTTCTTGAAACACATTTTTGGTGGTCTGAGTAGCTAAGATGTGCTTCTTAATATTGGGCACTGGTACATGGTGCTTTCACTTCTCTACAAATTAACCAACTGCAAAAAATGGTATGTAGCCAACTATGCACCATAGGCTGATTTAACTTTTTGATTTGTTGAAATCAACAAGAAAGCACAGTGTAAATTTCACACTTCAAAGACAGATTGACAATGCCTGCCTTCTAAAGTGACTTGAATTCCACATATTTAGAAATGAAGTATGTTACCGTAACTAACCAGTCTGAGCAGTTACTAGTAATTAAGTTGAGAAACGGCTATGCATTAAAGAGAATTCTGTGAGTTTGTTGTCCTTTCACTGTTCATGTTTCTTTAACTTCTTTTTCTTCGATAAGTCCCTTTAACATTTCATCTAATAAGGGCTTGGTGATGATGAACTCCTTGAATTTGATCTTATCTGGGAAGCACTTTATCTGTCCTTCCATTCTAAATGAAAGTTTTGCTGGATAGAGCAATCTTGGTTGTAGGTCTTTGGAGTTATTAACCACCACACTTAAAACAAAAGCAAACTAAAAGGACAGCTAGATCAGGCGTGGAAACATAGAAATGAAGATCTCAAGGAGGGTTAGCCATAGGGGAGTGGGAGGAGGAGAAGGTACAGAAAATAAGTAGCATAGACGGTAGATAGAAAATAGATGGGGGGCAAGAATAGTATGGGAAATATAGAATCTAAAGAACTTGAGACACATGGTCATAAACTAAAGGGGGGGTAATGGTGAGGACGGGGGGGTAGGGTGGAGGGGAATGAAGGGGGAATAGAACAACTGTAACAGCATAATCAATAAAAAAAATTAAAAAAAAAATAAAGAGAATTCTGTGCTTTCTCCAATAGTGGAAGGCCAGCCCAGGCTCTAGCATATCATCTTTGCTTTAGTCTGTTTGATTAGAAGGTGCTTCGTTAAGTATTATTAGCCACGGAAAGGCTTCCAAGATTTCTGCTACAAATGAATTTTATCCATCCATCTAGCTAGTAAATTATTGTTAGCTTAAAAGACATAGCCTATAGTAAAAATATATTTTATTAAATTATATATATCTCTACATAATACATACACATATGTATTTCCTCAATGCACTGCATCTACAACCAGTGAATAGCTCTTACAATACTTACATTGTCACATAATGAAATCACCACACCAGCTTTTAATCATTTTAACTCAATTTCTAGAAGAGTACTTCATACTCCCTATATTTAGTTTTATTTGATTATTAATATTTATAAGGAATGCCATTATTTCTATTCAATTAATATTTATTAAGTGCCAAGGGGTTGAGTGACACTAAACTAGGCACTTCATGCATGAATACATAAAATGCAGATTCCTAATGCAGCAAATAGAAATGGAGATTGGGATGTAAGAGTATATGTATCTGCCCATATATCTATCCAGGCCTAATATATATAAGCTTAAGTCTACCATTAACAATTAGATTTGTGAGCCTGCTGTACAGCCATAAGAGAATTAAGTGTTTCGTTAAACCCTGGGTACAGTTCAGCTAAGGGAAGCCTTAGCCCCTTCCTTAGACCAGAAGAACAAGTGTGTTCTGCTGACTTGTCAGTCAGGTCCTATTCTGGGCAGAGCTTGTCTTAGGCTGCTTAAAACCCCACAGGATGGAGCTCCCAGTCTTCCTGCATATGACCAATGGTGAAAGTCACCAAGTGGGAGGCAGAGGTAGCAGTGTCTTATGAATGTGAGAGATAGAAATACTAATGTTTTCAGAGATTTAAAGTGTTAGTATGAAAGAACTAGATTTACAAGAGAATGTGGGAGAATACGAAGATGTTTTCTACCGTAATCGTGATGGTAGTACATAGGTATATACTATTTCAGAATGAACTGAACACGTAAAATGAGTACATTTTATTATACGTAAACTGTATCTCAATAAAGGTGATTTTAAAATGTATATTTCTCCCTTACACTACACACTGGAAATCAATTGACCTATGCAATGGACTACCCAGATCTCTTCTCCCCATTATAACTGCCCGAAATGAGTGTTCATTACAGCTAACACCACAAAGAGTATACAAGGAAAATGAAACAATGAAATTCAGTCAACCTTGCTCCTTATTGGCAAAAAAAATAAACAATGTGCCAAAGCATGAGTTTGACAGCAATGGATAGTACTGGATGCCCCTGAATGATCAGCTATTGCTGTTAATTCCATTTTCTACTATAACGGAAATCACAATTAAACATTGGTAAAGTATGTTTTATAAATTCATGAAAATATGTATACATTTAATATATCACACATCTTTCAACAGAGTCTATCAAAACAGTTCCTCTTGAAAAGCTATCTCTAATCCCACATACTCTGTTTCCTTAGAATTCTGTAGTTATTTTAAGATGGCAGAATCATAATTATGTTACAGAGGAACTAATTATTTGTCACCTTCCACTGTGATAAAAACTTCTTGAGAATAGAGATCACTTCTTTTTAAGATTTATTTATTTATTTATTTACTTTAGAGAGGGGAAGGGAGGGAGAAAAAGAAAGAGGGAAACATCAATGTGTAGTTGCCTCTCATGTGGTCCCCACTAGGGAGCTGGCCCACAACCCAGGCATGTGCCCTGACTAGGAATTGAACCTGTGACCCTTTGGTTCACAGCCCTTGCTCAATCCACTGAGCTATGCCAGCCAGGAATAGAGATCACTCTTTATCTTTATAACCATACCACCTGACACACTTGAGATGGTTTAAAAATTTTTTAAATTAATGAACTAATGAATGAATGATACACATGGGTCTATATTATTTTAAATTTATATAATGACTCACTAGAGCACAGAAACAGAAAAAACAAATGAAGTAGGCTTCAGAAGTGCCAGAACTGAGTTGGAGGCTGTCCTTCTTCTGCATTACCTCCTCTGGTTGTGGGCTCTTCACACGGAGCAGTGGTTGTGGAACTCTCTCAACTGAAGTGCCTGACAGAGACCTCTTCCTTCAGGGATCCTAAATATGGCGGACCCTTGGAAAAAGGGGTTCTCCCTCAGGCTACAGGCAGCTCATTCATTCATTCAGAAACTTATGAAGTGCTTATTTTGTGCCAGGCGTAGTACTAAACCCTGATTGAAGGCTTCTGCGCCTTTCATGCCTCTGTGCTACCACTAGCCAGCATGAGGGAAATCTAAGAGCTTTCTGATAAAAGGGGAAAAAGTAGTTATGAGGAACAAACTTATTTATCATAAACATTGAAATCTCAAATGGCCATCTTATTTTTCACAAGAATAGACTTGCCCTGAAGCCATTGTATAAGTTAATTAAAAATATCCCTACCCATAGAAAGCTTTGACTGAAAATGTCTTTACGGTTTCCCTGAAAAACATCAAATGCAGCAAAAATTACTCAAGCTCTTTCTCTCGCTAACCCCTCACACTCTTGTGCATGTCCCTCTGTCTGCTTTAACCATTCACTCACAACACAGATCTCTGGTCATCTAACTGGGACTCAAAGCACAACATGAAAGGTCACTCTGACAGCTGTCCAATCTTCAAAGTACTGATAAAAATGTCTTTTGTTACCTCTGTTCCCAGATGTAAAAGGACACAGATAGAAACAAGAGACATAATCTCTTCCTGGCACCCAATGCATAGAACAAACTGAAACCTCTGTGTACACACATACACTGGAGCAAGTTCATCCCTTAACCTGAAGAAATGCAGGTCCCAAGTTCCTTCCAAAGACTTGAAATAACACCTCAGTTCTAAGAAAGACATGAAAAGTGGCGAACCAACCTAAATCCAGTTTCACAGCAAGTGATCCAAATATTTAGAAACTAAGGTTGTAAAACACATTAAATGGGAATTCTCTGTTTAGTAGATTGGCTCTGTAACCAATCTACTAAAAAAGTCACTTTCCATTTTCACATTCTTGATTTTTCTACCTTAAAAATGGGTTAAAGTTTGCCTCTTTGTTTTTGTATAGACATATAACACTCTGAACTCTTTGAAGGAAAGGTAATGTATATAAATGGAATACCAATTGGTAATATGTTAAAAATCACTGCTTGATATTGCTCAAACTATTATGTTGATATCAATGGAGTGGACCAGAAGGAAGAAAGAAACAACCAAACAGAAAAGAATGAACAAATAAGAATTCAAAAAAATGAGGAGAGACTTAGGAACCTTCAGGACATCTTTAAATATTCCAACATCCAAATTATAGGGGTACCAGAAGGGGAGAGGAACAGCCACGAATGGAAAACTTATTTGAATAATAAAGGAGAACTTCCCCAATCTGGAAAAGAAAATACACTTCCAAGAAGTCCAGGAAGTTCAGAGAGTCCCAAAGAAGGTGGACCCAAAGAGGAACACACCAAGGCACATCATAATTACATTAGCCAAGATTAAAATGAAGGAGAGAATCCTAGAAGCAGCAAGAGATAAGGAGATAGTTACCTAAAAAGAACTTCCCATCAGACCGTCAGCTGATTTCTCAAAAGAGATCTTACAGGCAAGAAGGGGATGGAAAGAAGTATTTGAAGTCATGAACAGATAAGAACCTACGTCCAAGATTGCTCTATCCAACAAAGCTTTCATTTAGAATAGAAGGACATGTAAAGTGCTTCTCAGATAAGGTCAAGTTAAAGGAGTTCATCATCACGAAGCCCTTATTTTATGAAATGTTAAAGGGACTTATCTAAGAAAAAGAAGATAAAAAACATATATAGTAAAATGACAGCAAACTCACAATTATTAACAACCACAGCTAAAACAAAAGCAAACTAAGCAAACAACTAGAACAGGAACAGAACCACAGAAATGGAGATCACATGGAAGGTTAGCAACAGGGGAGTGGGAGGAGGAGAAAGGGGAAAAAGGTACAGACAATAGGTAGCGTAGATGGTAGGTAGAAAATAGGGGGAGGGCAGGAATAGTATGGGAAATATAGAATCTAAAGAACTTGTGACACATGGACATGAACTAAAGGGGGAAGTTGGGGGGAAGGGGTGTGCAGGGTGGAGGAGAGTGAAGGGGGGAATGGGACAACTATAATAGCATAATCAATAAAATACATTTTAAAACAAACAAAAAAATTTTCCTTTTTAAAAAAAATTTTTTAAATTTGTTTTTAGAGAGAGGGGATGGGAAGGAGAAAGAGTGGGAAAGAAACATCAATGTGTGGTTGCCTCTCATGTGTCCCCTACTGGGGACTTGGCCTACAACCCAGGCATGTGCCCTGACTGGGAATCGAACTAGCGACCCTTTGCTTCACAGACCCATGCTCAATCCACTGAGCTACACCAGCCAGGGCTGAAATTTTCCTTCTTTAGGACAGAAGTTAGTGACATATTTTAACAATTCTCCTTCCCTTACCTGCCTATGAGTGGTCTAACTAGACTGAAAACAGGAAGGACAAATCAGGTTAGAAAAGACAAGACTGCTCAAGTCTTGGAGCTAAGGAGCCTTCTAAGAATGAACTGTAACTTCCACAATTACCTCTGGAATTAGGTTCATCTGTTAGGCTCACCAATATATGACCAAAGGTTGAAGGTTTTGTAACACCCATGATTAGCAATATACACTCATCTTACAAGGTGATGGAAGTTTTGCAAATTCATGCAATCACTGAAGCTGACAGAGAACCACCTCACTAGGTAAACCAATGGGATTGAGGAGTTTGGGTGGTCTACAACAAGTGCAAGTGCCTTAATCTGCAGGACCAAATAAAAACTTTAAGGAGACCCTGAAGTTTGACTTCTGTGTGACTACTGTACCTGTGCTGTCCTGGGGTCGGTCACTTCTTTGTACAGGCTGATGTCCAAGTAATAGCCAGACTCATTTGTCAGGAAGAGGCGAATGGGAATTGCTTTTCCAGTTGGTGTCAGGCGAATGTTGATTTTCAGTTCTGCCTGGAGGACGCGTAATTTCCACAGCCGACTTCCATAGCGCATTACCATGCTCCGCACAGATTCCTCAATCTGACACACACACATCACCAAACACAAAACTTAAATACCTTGGAACTAGGACCTGTTTCAGGTCTGCCCATCTTCAGGAAAGGAGGAATGGAAAAAGATGCTGTTTTCTTGAGATGTGTACTACCTGTATTTCTTACAGAAAGTCATATCATTTCTCCCCAACCCTACTCTTGCTTAGAACAAGTCAGGGACCATTTCATGCTGGCCTGTCCATATGAGTGGTTTTCTATGGCTCACAACACCCAAATGTGTGCAACTCCTTTCCCTTTTCCAATTATATTCATATTCTATATCAAAGATCTGCAGTATCTAAAATTAAAAGCCATGGGATTTAAGAGAAAGCCCCAAGTAAGAATAAAACCTCTAGTTAAACAGCTATTAAGTAGCATTTATATGCATGGTAACTCTGTTTCATTGCACTTACAGGACCTTAAATCAACATAGCAATTACCACCATGAGCTTTTTTCCATACATTTTTATTAAACTTTATAATATATGTCTCTTGGTAAATTGTACAAATTAAAGATAGGCAATTTGTAGGTGGTGCTAGAATGTTCTCTCTCTAAACAGAGCTTTGAAGCTTGATCATTGTCAAGTCCAACTGGAATTTAAATATACGAAGCAGATGCTTTCTAGTCTCTCTAAGCTTTATACCAAGGCAACTTAGTGATTCTAGTTTTCAGGTGAGTTATTTTAACCAAATAACTTTAGATGTGATTTCTCCTTTCTGGCACGCTAAAGCAAAAACATTTTTTCCAACATGGCTGCAGGAAGCTAGAACATACTACTCAAAATTAATGTTTCTTAAGGGAAGTATCTTTCTAAAATGCTTTCTCAACTTAGAAAATCTCAAAAACATATCTTATACCTACCCTTCTCTTATGGTTTTTCAGAAGTATGTGCCAGCCTTGCAATTTATTTCTGTGCTAAAATGGGTTTCACGGAGTTAACGTCTCTATTTCCACAGTTGCTTGTTAACCAAGAGCTATCTACCCATTCTTTTCTCAAGGGAACTAAAGTCAACAATCTCTCTACATAGGAAACTGACAACTATCTATGATTAGAAAGGCAGAGCCACAGTGTTTAGAGAAGAACAAAGAGGCTGACACCAAAAACTTAATGAGAAATGGTAGGCTAACTTTAGAATATATACACGCATACACACACAACAGGGTCTGGCACAAATAATGCTCCTTTTTATCACAAAATCTTAAGTGTGTAATTCTGTAACATAAAATATCACACACTCAAGCATACCATATGACATTTTAGGTGAAATGTTCCAATTAAAACTATAAATTATTACACCCATTTTATTACCCTGCCAACCACATTCAAGCAGGAGTCACTTAGGCTGGACCCTGTGTGTGCGTATGTGCATGTGTGCATACAGTTATATAATTATATAGTGTCAGACCATGTTTTAAGTCTTTCAGCTTAAGCAGTCCCAGAATGCCTAGGAGAACCTTTTCTTAAACTACGTGATGAGACTTGATACTCAATGAGTTGCCCTGTCCTTGCCTTCCCTAACATACTAAAGCAACTGATCAGTACCTTGGGGTCTTGAAGAAAAAAAGTAGAAAAAGATGTCTCAGGTCTGAGATCCTAAGTTCAAAAAGCATAAGTCCATGCCTACAACTGATCTTGAGAAAGGGATATATACTGGTTCTCCTATCTGTGTTCTACAATACAATAGAAAGAAGTCAAGAGGATCAGAAACAGAGAGAAGCCTATCTTTATTATGTGTGGAATAAAAGGTCAAGTATAGAATCGCTTTCTTTTCCTTCCTTAAATTATATGGAATGCATTTTAGAACACAGCCTCAGGGAAGAAAACATACATAGTACATATGAAATTCCTTTCAGCCAAATTCCTTCCTTATGGAGAAATAGGTTAGACATTTCAGGAAGGTACATTATGTCCCTAAGGTCATCAGGTAAGTAACATTTAGTACAAAGAGGCAGTAATTTTGCCAAAATGCCCAATAATAGCAAAGTTAATTATTCTAGATGAGAAATCCCAAGTAATTATGTAAGACAGGACTGCTATCATAGCCAAGTGTCATTATACAGGTACCAACAGAGAAAGAGGTTTTATTTTTTGTAATGCTTATAAATGACCAGTAAAGTAAATCATACCAACTTTAGTTTTGAAGTCTGCTTTTAATGGCAATAGCAAATTTCTGACACCATCCCAGAAACCCAGTGTTATGAGCATTCAGCATACTTTAAAGACCACGGGCTCAACCAGTTGACCAAAAGTACTTGTGCCCAGGTCCAAGTGTGAATTAATATGAATGAATCTCCCTGCTTGTGTTTGCTAGTTCTGGCAAAGAAGCAAACGAGAAATGTACCTTCGATGGGTCCATGATGACTGTAGGCACAAAGTTGAGGAAGATGTGGTTGCAGTCAGTACGGACATTAGTATTATTAAAAGCGACTTCCAACTCATCCATGGCTTCCAGGAGCAGCCGTTCCCCTTCATTTTGCAGATATTCAAAAGAAGCTTCCTATGCAGGAAGAAATCACATTCAACATTAATGTATTTTAAAAGAGGCAATAAAGAAGTGACTACTATAATTACTTATGCAGTGCTACGTCATGAATCATAAGGCACCTGCTACAGATACTCTCTACCTTTCTCTCTAATCAGCCCAATAACCACAGGCAACAGGGGCAGGCAGGGTCAGATTAAGAATTCCGGCAGCCCTTCCTCCTAACGTATCATTTCTTTCCAATAGGTGGAATAATCATTGGACATCCCCAGAGCTGAAACCCCAAAAGGGTTACATCTCACATATGCCAAACAGAGCAGTCTGGAAAGGCAATCTGTTTAGAAAGGGGAAGTTGAAGAAAGGTTATGGCTATGGGATGCAGTAATAACTAACACACCAGGAAGCACCTTGCTAAGGACAGAAACCACCCTGCTTCTAGATAGGTTTAATGGGGTCACTTCTAACTTTTCTCTTTATCCTCTATCATCGCCTAATGCCCTCTGTGGTTTTTCTGTTGGCGTGCTTTTCCTTTTCTCAAGTGTGTATTATCATGCTTCCATTACCAAGAAAATTCAAATGAAAAAACAAAAAGCTCTTCATTACATGGAATATTTACTTCTGTGAGAGAAATGACTCTCAGACTTCTGCTGGTTCTTAGAGTGAGATGAAAGGGAACAAGAGCTTTAATTCAAAAAACAAAAACCTAATTTTGAACCATGACAGTTCCGCTGTCCCTTCCCTCGAAGATAACTTCCCACTGAAGTGCAGCACCCACCTTGGTAACCAGATCGGAATGTCTGATGATTGCACGGACAAAGAATCTATAGTCTGTCACTTCTGTACCCACTTCCACTTTGGCTGCCCCAAGATACAGGTGCATCTTGTGATTAGCACAGGGAATGGCAGTAAGGTCAAAATTTCTCATCCGGTTCAGCTCTAACTGAAAGGCAAGGGCAGGCTCCAAGTGACGATAGATACGATCCTCTTCAAACTGAGCACGAAAATTGTAGGAAAAACAGTCCATAAGAGATGGTTACAAAATCCTATTATGAATGTGTATGTAAAAGAGATGCTTAAAAATAAAAACATAAGCTATGATGTGCTAATGAACCACAGAAATGAGCTATACACAAGGATAATGCTATAACTTACATAAGATTAGGCACTAAAGAATCTATTTACTTCCCAAGCTTTCATCATTTATGCTTTCACAAGTGGTGATGCTCCCCATTAAAAACAAACAAAAAAACATCAATTCCCTCAATTCCCTGTAGCATTTAATATCTTTATAATTCATTTTTTTACAATTAACTACAAACTGTTTCATATTAACAACTACTTCACATACCAACGTACCAATGATTTAGATTTACCCAACTAGTCTAAAATGCTTATCAGTTCCGGCACAGTACAAAGGACATAGTAAATGCACAAAAAATACTAATCATATAATTTTTTTAAATAGAGATATTTGGCTTTGGAACATACCACATCCATTGATACGTAATTATATATATCTTTTTAAAGAGCTGCATTTACATTTACTGTACATTTTGCTGAAACTAAATTGTTTTTCTAGAGTGCATGTAAGTTGAGTGAATGGAGAGAGCCAAAAATATAAGCTGGTAACAGGAAGAAACTGACATGGTCCAAAGTTCTGTATTTGAAGATTGAAAAATGAATGCACATAAACAAGACCTGAATATAAAAAAATTGTAGTGATGATAATCATACTACTAAGTAAAACGGTCCTTTAATAACACATCATAGGCTCATCCTAAAACATAAGGATGATTTTGAAAACTACTGCTTTCTTTGGGTAGGTCAGGACATTTGATTGTTTCCTAAACCAAACTCTGTCAGAAAGGAGTCTTCTTTCGTTCTAAGACACATGTAAGGCAAAGAGAAGCACAAACCCAAATGGAGAAAAAAATGGCAAGAAGAGTATATGACAAAGATAAGCCACTCTTGGGCATGTAAGAGGGTGGAGGAAAGGAAACAACCAGTTCTTACCTTATCCCTTGCTCGGAATGTGAAAAATTTAGGGAATTCTCTCTGTGTTAAAAGAAGGGGAAAATGTATCAGTCCTTCATAGATATGGCTCTTTGGGGATCAACACATAGTACAGAAGCACTCAAGCATTTAGAAGACAGTTTTCTAGAAAATATGCTCCTTACTGAAGCTTAGCCCAGGGAATACGGATGATCCTCTGGGTAACTAACACTTTGATCTCACTTCCAAATTTGAGAATCACCACACTATTAACCTAACGTCAATAGCTACCCTCTCCTAGGGAAAAAAAATTAGTATTTTTTCATCTCTCAAGTAAAAATTAAAAAAAAGTTTTCCTGGGTGTTGCTCTTGGTACAATCTGGTAAACGAAACCAATATACCCTTAAGCTTCAGCACTGCAATAGTTACTGGACTGATTTCCCAAGTTTTCCCCCAAGAAACTCTTAAAATGTAAACTAGCCAGAAAGCATAGAATCCCAATTCATGTATTTTTCTTCATTCACTCTCAAGTCAATAATTTCAAGTGTTTAAACAATAACATCTCGAGACAAAGAAAAGTACAAGACGTTACTTTGGTCACTACCACTATATGTAGAGGAAAGAATGGGGTGGAACTAGTGAACTTGGAATCATTTGATCTTACTGCTCTTTTTCAGGGGCATTATGAAAGAAAGCAACCAATTTACTAGAACCTTATTAATTAACAAAGATGAATTCAATTAGCAGAGTCCATTAGTTTCTGAAATTTAACTTATTAACACCAAATACCCCTGTTTCTCGGATGGGAAGCTCTACTGGCGATGTTGGAATCAAGTCATTACTATTTGCCTCTATAGGAGGTTTCATTAGGCATCTTCATTATGAGTGCAATATAATCAAACACTTATTGGTACAAGGCACAGAGACCAGGACTAGCTGCACAAATGTCCCTCAATGAGCTTTAGGAACCATGACAGAAACATGCACTAAAATGAAAGCCTTCTGGGTGGCAGGCACTCTCATGAGTTGTCCCCTCAAATGCTCTCAACAACTTCCCAAGGCAGGTACCCATTTTACAACTAAGGAAGCCATGACCAAGTGATATGCCGAGGATCGGAATATGAACTTGGGTCTCTACATGCCCTTTCATCTCTTGTGGTTCTTGAATTTACTTGAAAACTTCTTGAATATTTTCCATGGGTATTATACCTCACTCTCACCTTAACTTGCACAGTTAATAAATCTTCTTACAATTTCCTTGCATTTTAACTGTACAATAGCATTTAACAGGCTTCTTGGAGATTGTTTACCAGCGCGGGAAATCCCTTGTCCAGGCTTGGGTCCTTAAAAGCCCTTTGAAAGTAGACTTTACACAGCACTGATCTTTTATTGATGATGTTTTCATTCTAAATAATTCTCTAATTCCCCTAAATGACAGTAAAGAACATTGGGATGACTTCAAGGTTAGGCAGGAAGATGTTCAGCTGCAGTGTCACTTGCTCAGAACTTTACAGTCTTATTTTGTTTTATTCTTGAAAGGTATGGCTTTCAGAGTATTGACTGAGGTAATACAAGTCAAAAATGAAAGGGTAACAAAATTCTCTCATGAAATTTTCTGAAAGGCAAGGAAAGTGATAACAATCTTTTAAGCACACACACTTCCACTCTGCCTTAACAATTAATTAATTAAGAAATGCATTTAGTACATCATTTACTCAACTGTGTACAAGTGCAGGACCAATATCATTTTCCTTCAAAAACATAATAGTAAGCAAAACATCACTTCTTTACTACTTAAATCAACTAAGAAAGTTGATTTGTAGTAAGTGAAAGGCGTGAAAAACAATTTAAATAGAAATGCCTTTACTATAAATAATGAAAGAGATTGACTAATTCTTGTTAGAGGTGGGAAAAGACCACCGAAAATCAGGAAAACTTTCATTCAAGTTAGCTAAAAGAAGGTGTTATGAGATGTTATCAGCAAACATTTTTTAACTTCTGAGTAAATTTTTAGCTCTACAGTAAAGTCCTTAATTTAAGCAGGAAGCATTAAGAGTAGGAGATGGTAAGAACTTCTGTGTAATGGGAAGCTGGATTAATGAACAATTCTTCAAGTCTGAGGATTGATAGAAAGTCATCTCTTTTGGCACTCAGAACAAATCACAAAAACACATAAAAGAAGAAATTCGAAAGTCCGATCCCGTAGTTTTAGCAAATTCCTTCATCCTACCTCATCCTCATGTGCCAGTTTTTTCCACAAACAGCATTCACGCTTATTCTATCACTAATGTAATTGCTTTCCAGGCATTCTACTAGTGTCATGGGCAAATATCATAATTGAATGTACACAAAGAAAAACCCTCTTAGTGTTCTGGTACCAAAAAACAAAAGAATGCAACACTTCTCAGGAAGAAATTATACTCCTGCTGTGTTCTAATCAGCCAACCATCATCAAGACAATCAAAATAATTTGCCTAAATTAGCCAATCAAGACACCCTGCAAATCAGAGAATGTGAAAACCTGCAACAGAAAACATCATAGCTGATTATGATACTAATAATCGTGTTAAAAACCTAATGAGATGAAGAAATTGAAAGCTTGCTGGTGCAATTCTCTTTTACCTCAACATGCTGAGAACTAATTATATAGACTGTAATTAAAACAAAACCCCAAACCTTCTGAAAAACTAATAGTTGATCCACTAACAAACAAAACTACCAATTTTTTCAGCTTTATTGAGAAATAATTGACATATCAAAAAAAATTTTAAAGAAATGAACTACTAACCATGATTATTGTTTTCATTAGTGGGCTCTTTCTTCCAAAGCATTTAATTTTAAAGTGGGAGTCATTCACATAAAATCAGTAAAAGTATTCCTAGATGATTTACAGCAGAATTTTAAAAGTCTGAAGAAATCATACAAACGGAAGTCAAAAGGAAACTTAACAGATGCAAAACTGATTTAGAATCTCACCATAGTTTTTGGACCTAATGCTTTTGTTTAGGTGGCAAAGGATAAGACGAAATCCTGAAAGTGTACATTTTAGTATCCTTAAAAAAACGTGGCTGAAAAAATATGGAAAACTTTAAAAAGTATAATACTTATATTCCAATTAAGTAGCACCTTCTGCTGCACCTTTTGCAACCTGAAATGTGAGCAAAACTATCAGAGAATTAAAACTACATGAAAGCAGAGAACTGCAGCTTATATACCTGCAGAAATGCAAAGAGCCTGTTCTTTCGCTTTCAAGGCTTCATTTTTTTTTAATATGAAGAAGATATTTACAGGAATAGGCTCAGTTTTCCTCAATTTTTTTGTTTATATATCAATGTCAAGCAGTTATTCAAATCCCATTATAGGTACTTGATTTAATTAGATGGTTATGGAAACAGACCCGACACTAAGCATCCTTAATGCTGGTAAATATTGCTAACTCAGAACAGGCTCCATATAGAGTTGAGACTAAAGTAGCAGCAGACACTCCAGGGGGACTGTGGATATTAAACAATGAAGTTTTGGAAATGCTTATTTATAGCTTTCACTAGCATCTGAATAAATACCTAACAATTCACACTCTCCAGGAACCTCTACTCTGGCCCTCTTTTGCCTTGTTCTGCTTCTGAAGCACTCTGAGATGACTTTGTAACAGCACAGCTGCTCCATTCCATACCAGCCAATGTTCTTGAACCAGACTTGGTAACCTTCCTCCTCTCCTTGTCCCCTCATTTATGTATCCTCTCTCCTGTTCGATAATACAGGGGTGTCACAGTATAGAACAGAGGAGACTGTGTACATCACAGTGGATTACCAAGCAGCCAGAGAGATCAAGGGATTCATCTCTAACACTCACGGAAAGCTTCCTCTTTTTCACACTACACCAACTATGGGGCAAGCACACACCAGATGACATGACAGAGGCTGTGTATCCTTCCTGAATGGAAAGCTACCACAGCAGTGGGACTGAGAGCAGTACCATGACAGTGAGCCTGCATTTGTACAGCTCCTGCCAAGGTGTCCTGGCTATTGTAGATCCTAGATGGAATTCAGTAATAGTTGCCCTTGGCCCCTGTATAGCCACTAATCATTTCTAAGGGGCCTAATATAAAAATAACCCAACTCCTCTGCCATTCAATGCTGCAGAGAAAATCCAGTCTACACCCAAACCTTAATTTCTCTAAGTCTTAAAGCAACCTTTCCTACACTCGTGATAAATCGCATCGCTTGATAGTATAACTGATTTCCCACTTGATGTCACTATAAATAGGAACTGGCCTGTGATTCCCAGGAAGACCCACTGCTGGGCTCATTCCCTAGCAGATTTTGCCTGTACATGTCCCTAATCAACCTAAATCTAGAAATACTGGGATAAGGAGAAAAAAGTGTTTTAAAGCTGTAGACATACGCTGGACATAACACAGATTCAGAGATAAGATGAGGCTTTTCATAAAACACATACCAAAAAATGCCCATGAGAGCCCTGGTTGGTGTAGCTCAGTGGACTGAGTGCAGGCCTGTGAACCAAAGGGTCGCCAGTTCAATCCCCAGTCTAGGGCACATGCCTGGGTTGCTGGCCAGGTCCCCACTGGGGGCAGGCACATGAGAGGCAACCACACACTGATGTTTCTCTCCTTCTCTTTCTCTTTCCCTCCCTATCCCTCCAAAAAATAAATAAATAAAATCTTTAAAAATATAAAAAATGCCCATGAGAATTAACTGCTTTGGCTTTTTAAAAATGTTACCAGAGTTTTAATTTATTAGGTAATGTTTATTTTAGGAAACCAGTTCATGTACTATAGACATAAAGACTATCTGAACCATTAGGAAAAAGAAAAACAATTTTATAAATTCAGTATTATTCCCCCAAATAATATAAGATCTCAAAGTCAGGGAGAAGGGAAAACTGACATTAATGCTTAAGAATCTAGCCCAATACTATTCCCAAACCTAAGGCCTGGCCCTGGCATGTCAACCTGAGTTCTGATCAGCACCACCAGCCTGTGCTTATCCACAGGCTCTCATATTCTATCCTCGAGTATCAATTTTATTCTCTAAGCTCTGGATTTTTCTTCCTAAAGCCCCAGGGTTCTCTTTAAGCTCCTAATACTTCTTCACTGCCTCCAGTCTCCTATCTGAAGTTATTGATTGATGCATATCTGCACTCTGCTTGGTTTCCTGATATCAATAACACAGGGGAGTTGTGCAGTCCACAACATTTCCTAAAGCATTTCAGAAAATCTTAGCTTTTTAGTTTGCACAGTAGGCTCTCTCGTTTCTCCGCAGACTAGGCCAGCGATTTTCAACCGGTGTGCTTCGGCACACTGGTGCGCCACAATAATTTTTAAAACGTGCACTACCTGACTATTTAGTCAGGGGCACTGACCTCTTTTCCCTTAGATTGTCAAATTAAAAAATAACAACAGCCAACACAAGAGCCATCCAGTGTGAATCAAAATTACAGCTATTTTTTGTCAGATTGGCAAAAAATTTATTTTTTGGTATGCCACAGAATTTTAGTAATTAGTTTATGTGTGCCACAAGATAAAAAAGGTTGAAAATCACTGGACCAGATCAACAAGGTTAACCTTGAGAAGGGAAACAAAATGTCAAGTGCTAAAGACCTAATAAACAAAAAGGCAATAAAAGCAACCATACTTTGGTTCTTGAGTTTAGAAAGTCCTTTTCAGAATTCCAAATATTACCTTCATGACTGCAAATGAATAGGGCTTGAAAACTAAATTATCTTAATTGCTAAAACAAAACAAAACTCTTATCAGGAAAATTGACTTCCTAATGTCCTCTGGAATCTTGGCTACATTAGAATAAAATTTTAAAGGTACATTTTGACTACAATCAGTCACTTCAGAGAATAACGTCTTGACTGCAAACTGGATTTGGGGCCTCAGTGCTGTCACCACACTGGGCGTGATCACATGGATGCAGCACAGCTCAGACGCCGGGCTCTTCTCTTTTCAACAAAAATTTTAATCTCGTAAATAGTAACAGGTAATTCAGTTAAATGGGAGAACAAGCAACTTACTGCTCAATTTTTATTTATTTCCTGCTCCTAGAATTAACATAAGACAAAAAGTACCAACTTGGGCTCTGTTAAGGCATTTTAATAAGAAATTATTGTTTTTCAGACCTTGATGGTGTGGATCAGCGGACTGAACGCTGGACTGCAAAGCAAAGAGTCACTGGTTCGATTCCTAGTCAGGACACATGCCTGGGTTGCAGGCCAGGTCCCCAGTTAGGGGAATACCAAAGACAACCACACATGGATATTTCTCTCCTACTCTTTCTCCCTCCCTTCCCCCCTCTCTAAACATAAAAAAATAAATGAAATCTTTAAAAAAAGAAATTACTGTTTTTCAGAACTGAGAATTCTCAACAATAGAACTAGAATACACCTTTGGTAAAAGCCAAGACACCAAAGCACAACTGGCAGTCTTTATTTTTTTAAAGATTTTACTTATTTATTTTTAGAGAGAGAAGAAGGGAGAGGGAAACAGAAGAATAGAAACGTCAATGTGACAGAGAAATGTCGATCAGTTGCCTCTTGTACATGTCCTAACTGGGGACCTGGGCCCGCAACCAAGGCATGTGCCCTGACTAAGAATAGAACCAGGGACCTCTAGCTTTGCAGGAAGACCCCCAACCAACTGAGCCCATACAAGTCAAGGCTGGTAGGTCTTGATTACCAATTCATTGTGCACTCAGAAGAAATTACTAGTTAGCTCCTGCTTCTACCTTATTCATTCAGATAAATGCATACGCTCATTCTCAGTTATTTCTCAAAGATATATTGAGAATTTGTTATTGGGTAAAAAAAATAAAAAACCTTTTAGCTTGAACACTATAGAAGAACTGAAAAGTCATTATAATACTTTCTAAAAAAAAAGAGGGACCAAATGTCAGTCCAACCCTTCTAAATAACTCACACGCATTCTTTGTTTAAATAATCAATGGCAGACGGACAAAACAGTAAATAGTATTTCATTATTACTCCTTTAACTTACATGAAATCTCTGATCCACCTCGTAGCTGATCTGTTTCCTGAAATCCTTTCAAATGAAAGAGAAAAAGGAAGGAAAGAGAAGTTGAAAATTAGTAATAAATTTAAAACCAAACTGAGTTAAAGGTAATGAGTTAATATTTTTCTTTAACTCATAGAAAATAATTATTTTCTGCATAAATTCTACAAATAAGTGTATGATTATAGTTCCATTTATTTACTTTTAAAAATTCTAGCAGCAGTGTAAGAAATATTGGAGAAGTATAATTCACATATTGCCAATACCTTTTGTGCAACCAGGAAAGTAAGGCGCCGTATTCCATGCTCAACCAGAGTAGCTTTCTACGGAAAAAACATGTAAAACAGAAAATAGATGAGATCTCCTTTCACCCCAAGTCTTACCCCATTCAGTCCTTGTCAGGCTCTAATTGGGCTCTGCACCCTTTTTGGTTGTCTGTGTCTTGGCTCAGTACCTTCAAACCTGCAAATAAACAAATCTCAATCTGGCTCCTGGGACTAAGTCTTATGGAAAAGGTTTTATATTCATCTGGATAAAATTGAGAGAGAACTTCGTAGGAAAAAGGGTCATATGAAATCACCTAAATTCTCTAAGGTCTGATTTGCATCAAGGTAGACCTTAACACAATTTCTGCTTATAGAAATCACATTGGTGGGTATGTTTAAATGTGAAGATTTTAACTAAAACAAAGGCTAAGTGAATTTAGGACACTCAGGTCATAAGGAAAAAGGAAATTTTCATAAAACAGAAAATTCAGGTCCAAAACTTGTTTAGAGATTATAGATAGCAGCTACCATCACATACAGCATTCCTAGAATTTAACCTAACAAATCCTGATCTTTTCATTACTTCTAAAACATGGCTTTCCCTACTTTACATGAAGGTATTTTTTAGATTTTTCTTTAAAAATGGCTAAAAGCAATATTTGATAGACTTTTAAATTTAGTGTTATTCCTGTCTCCATGTGCCATGGGTGAGCAGTTTATTAGAAGGCAAAAGAGACCAGCAGTTTCAAGACAATCTCTCACATAAGTACTGTTCCTTCGGATCTAAGCTTGCTTCTATCTTGTAGTGCTCACTCATCTCCAAAGACAGAGACAAAGAAACAGATTAATGAACTAAGTAAAAAGCATGATCTTAAAAGGCCCCTAACAACATGGCAACAAGGAGAAGAGCAATCTTACCACTTAAATGACCTGGCAGAATATGAGTAACACAAATAGGAAAAAATATGTGGACTTTCACAACCCACATGCAGACTGTAGTTTTATCACATCCGTTGCCCTAACTCTAACCAAGAGATATGTTCCTAAGGCAATTCTTGACTTTCATGATGCTATGTATTTTTAAAATCCAAGTTGGTGCCCCCTTATCAATAAGCACATTCCCAGGCTATTTCCCCCTACTGGAGAACCACTTCTGCTACAGCATTTACTGAGAAACAAAATTAACAACATAAGTGTAATATAGTTAGAAAAATTAATTCCCTAACAATAAATCCCCTGGTGAAATACAAATAAATTTCGGTTTAATCCCATTTAAAAATGATCTGTACTGGCACCAGAGTGGTTATTATTTATATTATTGGTTATAGTATTAATACTTGGTTATTTATAATAAACCAAGTATTAATTCTACAATAAGAAAAAGAAGAAAGGGAGAGAGGGAGGAAAAGACAAGGGAGGTGAAGAGGGAGGGAGGAGTGGGGTGGGTTGGCAGTGGTTCTCAATCTCTCAGTGTGCCATGCAACAGAAGCACTTCTGACACCACCAACAAAGAATTCCACCACAGCCAAGTCCTTCAAAGACAAGCATCAATAGCTATGTTCAGGCAAGGGAAGAAAATAACTTTAATAATGCCATGATTTAAAGTCAAAATTGTTATTGCTTTTAAAATTCCACAAGTGGCTGACAATAACAGCAGAGCAACAGGATTCTGATTACATTGTAATAATGCGGGTCTCACAGCAAGTCCACAGCTATTACCCAGCGATTAGGCGTCAGCACCTGGAGAAACTCCATTTACACTGACTGCTTCAATCTCCTCCACAAGTCATTTACAAATATATGATCCTAATTTCTATGAGAGGAAAAAAGACATGCTGGGACTAGAAGATTATTTGGACAATTTGGATCAAACTATTCGATAGTTTAATGTGTGCTTTAAAAAAAAGAAACTTTTTCTAAACTGCTAGAAACATGATCATGAAGTGAAAAACAAAACTAGTTATCATTTCAGCTTTTAAAAAAATTGTTTTCCTTCTTTTTATTTTTACATTCTTTTTCAAAATAAGGATGTGAAAATGCCAAACATTACAGGATAAGTAAAGTACTTGAAGCAGTTCCCAGCTTCTTGAGGCTTGGAATGTTGGCACAGTTTACTCTTAGCCTTCTGAACAGCCACAGGCAAAGATACTGGATTTCCCTGTGCCTCAGTTGATACGCCCAGTAAAGGGAAAAGGTAATTTCTCATTGCCAATTAATGTTATAAATTAATGTAGTGAAGAGGAAGAAAATGCCTCTTTAAATCAACATGTGATGATTTATACCACACTAAGATCTGAAGCTAATAAAAAGCCTACAGTTGAATTCAAAACAATCAAATAACTGGTTTCTCAAAAGCAGGTAAGAAAATTTCAGATTTCAGCAAGCAGCAGCCTCAGCAGCCATGAGCAACATTAGGAGCTAATGCTGTTCTTGCAGCTAAGGTTACTCTAGTCCCTGGTCTCAGGTTAATTTTACATGGTCACAAGACATGGGCAAAAAGAAAGGTACAGTTAATTTTTCTTCTAAAGAAAAGTTCCTTGGCATGTCCCCTATTTTCACTTCTCTGTAAGTACCTTTTCTTTATGTCAGCCACCATAGTTACAGAAGCAAATGCTAAGACTCATGTTAAGCACAAAGTTACCATCTTCTCCCAGGTATCTATCATTAGCATTACATGATGTGCATGCCTATGGAACTAATTGTTTATATTGCTAAATTAAGTTTTTAAAAAATCTGTTCCATTCTTTCTCTACAACAAACACTATAGCTAGGCACTTCCTAGTCAAAGAAAACACTTAGGTCTTGTCACAAGGGGAGTCAAAGATGGCACTTTGGCATCTATTATATATTGCAATGAAATTACCCATAGGTAGACTGTCCTTTGAAGTATGTCTAACCAGTCTCTCCAACTAAACCACAGGTGGCAAACACAAGGCCCTTGAGCCAAATCCGGCCCTCCACCTTGTTTTATCTGGCACCTTGTTTCTACCCAGCAGCAGTGCCGAGCTCCTTGCCCCTAGTTAAGTTAGTTATATTTATACAGTCCTAAAATTACATTCGGCCCTTTGAAGGCAACTTCGAGGCTAATGTGACCCCTGGTGAAAATGAATTTGACATCCCTGACCCTGAACTAGACTATAAGCATCTTCGGGGCTAAAAATATATTATTTACTAAAAGCACCTAGATCTATGCCTCCCCAGAAGTGGAATCAAAGCCTTAAATTATTATTTTTGCTCTATCATCTACCAGCTGGTGATCAAGGGACCTTAATTAATCTAAGATTGAGCTTTCCCCCCTGTGCACAACTGGAATAATTCCTAACTAATCTAACCCCATGGGATTGTGGTGAGATGCAAATTAAAAATTTTACTTAGAAGCTGTTTGCAAATAAAAAGCATTATTATTGCTAATAAATGTATGCCGACCAATTGAAAATTCAAGGAAAAAAATACATTTTAGTTAGGGCTACTCAGAGTAGCACTCATAGAAGAGGTGAAATCTGAAACAGTCTTTAAAACAAGCAGGATTTAGAAAGAGAGAGAGAATGTTGGAAACATTCCAGGCAAGGGGCAGTAGAAGAGAGGAGACACAAAGACTTTTGTATTTTCACGGAACAGTGAAGGATAGATTGTTAGCCTTCATCAATAGACTGATGTCAAACATCAAGTTAAGGAGGCGTCCTGAGGGTAACAGAGAATCACTGCCAAGCGGGAGAACAACTTGGTAAAAGGGAATTGTGGACATTTCATTTTGTGTGGTGGTGAATAGAACGGAAACCATCTGGAGGGGGCGAGTAAAGGAATATAGGTAGACCACCAGTATATCTGCTGTGGTATCTCCAGTGTGAAGTGCGTAAGGCTTTAAACTAGAGAGATGGTAGTGGGAATTAAAAAAATGAAAGAAAGGGAGGCAGGGAAAGAGACACTGCAAAGGAAAAACTAACAGACCTTGGTGATTGACCAGGTACAAATAAACACATATAGGCTGTGGCAGAGGAGCTGCATCGTGCAACGGCAAGGGAAAAGAGGAAGTCAGTGCTTTCTGAATAACTGGGTGTAAAGGGCCGGGTTACTTGGGGTTTCTAGTTTTTTTGAGGGATGGAGGTGGAGCGTGTTGTGGGGAGTCAGAAGAGTGAAGAAAAATGAAGGCAATTTAGGTTTGAACTATGGAGTTTGATGTCAGAACAAGATATACAGGTCACACAAAATTGAAAGGAGAATGGAAGTATAACTGGTATTTTTAAGGGAGGGGAGGGAAGGACCAAAAGAAACCTGATGGAAGTGTGGGCCTAGACATGTGGAAGTAAGACCCCCAAGGAAAATACTCAGCAGGTGACTGAGAGTTCAAGATTGGAACTCTGGGAAAGATGTAGGACCACACTTCCTTAAAACATTTTATATAGTTGAGTTCTATATTTCTTGACATAAAAAGACTATTATACTATTAAATCACTTTGGAATTTTACCCCATAAGCAGAACTGTGTAAAGGGTACAGCCATCCTCAGTGATAGGTCCTACAAGTAGCAACTGATCAAAAGGTGGGTCTCATACACAGCCAGCAGGATACGAGCATCATCGTCAGGTCCCACTCAACTTACATTTTGCTGGGTAAACTCTCTGAACATCACTGCCAGCCTGTCGTCCTCAATATCACAGTCAGTCTTGATAGCCACATTGAGAATGTGAATTGGTTCATCCCTGGGGACCTGTAACCCAAGAACACAAGACAAAGAAATTAGGAGGCTGGCTTATATAGGGGCAGAGAAAAGTTATAGTACTTGGTAGAATACCTAAAAAAGAGATATGCCCCACAGGACATTTTGATTTGCCCGCTAGTACAAATAAGCAAATTGAAACCACTACCCAACATCCACAGTGGAGATTAAATAAAGTAAAACATTTAATTTTTCAATGATAAGGCAGCAGCCCTGGCTGGGTAGGTAGCTCAGTTGGTTAGAGTGTTGTCATGATATACCAAGGTTACAAATTCAATCCCCGGTTAGGGCACATGCAAGAATTAACAAATGAATACATCAATGAGTGGAACAACAAACTGATGTCTCTCTCCCCCCCCCTTCCTCTCTCTCTCTGAAATCAATAAATTAAAAAAAAATTAAAGATAAGGCAGCAAATGCATTAGCTGGAGGTGGCCCCAAATCTTGATTTGACATGAACCTGAAGACCACTATGTCTCAACTTTTTCATCAACAAAATGGGAATGAAACCCACTGCCACATCTCTTCACAGAATGCAAAGAAAAATGAGTGGAGAGAAGCCACCTGATGATATTCCCACATAATGTATTTCCCAACCATTTATCATACAGTGGAAGTGTCAAACCAGAGAACAATAACCGGATAGGAGAAAAAACAACAACAATTGTAATTTGTTTACTGAGAAATTAAAAGAATTTTTAAAAAGGAAAAGTTTTAAACAAAATGTGTATTTCTTTATTTAATCTATTTTTGCTAACATCAACCATTTTCTGAAGACCACAATGGCACCACTGTGCAAGTATATAAGCCATCACTATGCACTATTTGAAGTAACCAAAGCTGAAGTCTCTGAAACTACATTCAGAGACCCAAAACCAACTACGACGGATATGGCCCAGCCTACACTACAAATTCCAGGATTAATAGGTTTATTTATTTTTTTAGGTTAGAATTTATATTCCACCAGTTTCCAAAAATGCTTTGATGAGGCATATAAAACTACAAACATAAAGTAGGGTAAAAAGACAGATTCTTCCTTATAATATCCCAAAGTCAGAAAGACAGTATATATGCAGTACAAGTCATATATCTGAAGGAGAAAAGCAGTCTCCCAAAGGGGATAGTATACCTTGTCTTCATCGTATAGAGATGTGTGACCTGCCTCAGGGAATGTGGGGCTTTGGGGTGGGGAATCACAGAAGCAGCCCATCACTTCATCAAAGATCCTGAAAAATACCAGAAAAAAACACCCACCATGAAAACGCAACCAGCAGAAAACTAACGCTGCCATTGCCAGCTCAGTCTAAAAGAATAATCTACCCTACCCTGTGCTCAGTAGTCAACTGAATAGAATCACCAGTGGCTAGAGGTGATATGCAAAATTTCACCAAGTGGCAGAAATTAGGAGGATAGATTGTTTCAACTTTAATAAACCATATATATATATATTTTTTAAAAGAATGATCTAAAGCTTTTTGTTTTGTTTTTTTCATATATAAGATGAGCACTGCTGTCATCATCAGTCTTAAAGTAACAGAAAGAGCCTGGGACTGGAGCAGTGACAGACCAATGTAATTACCCCTCCCCCTAGGGTAATGCATCAGTATACATCAAGAGATAGATGCTGAATGCATTTAATCAAAAGATGTATCGTCTCTAGTGGGGCTCACTCTAGTGTTGTGTTTAATTTCTCCTGACATTTCACTCATCACAGAGCAGACAGCTTCTTCTGTTAGCTCCCAAGGAAAAGATGGTTTTTGTTTGTTTCTTTTTTTCTGACCAGGCTCATATAACAAGTCGAGGCTTGTGGAGTCTGAATGAGAGGCAGAAATGGAAGGACATATACCTCTCTGAGGGCGTATGCAGCAAAGGCTACGTCTCCCTAGCTGGCTCACAGCTCTTTGGGGGACCTTTATTCATTTGGCAGAAATCTGAGACACCAAAACACAGATGCGGACCGCTCCCCTTGTACAGACACAGTTCCACCGTGTCTTACCTGACAAAATCTTCAAAAGTCCGAAAAGAGACCATTCCGCCCATCCGCTGACATGGTGGAGTGAATGAGTTGTCCAATAGCACATCGCTGACACTAGCTACATGAGTCATGCCATAGTGGTTGAGGTTGGAGGAGAAGGACATTCTAAATGGTAATTCAATCAAGTGCATTAGACAAGGAGGGTAGGAGCAAGGACTCGGAGAGTAACAACAGGGAAAAGGAATTAGGGGGAAACTCTGAATTAGGGTCAGGTTGAAGAGCAGACATGGTTTTTTACCCACTATGGGTAAGGCTGTTTTGACACATTCACATTAACCCTTTCTTTTGAATTCTACCCCCATCCCACATTAAAACACACACTAACTATATTGTTATCACTCCAAATTTTCTCAAAATAAAAATCTAAGGGCTATCAGGAATTTCATGGCCATTCTAATACAATGATATTATGGCATGTCTGATGAATAAATAGCACATAGGGGTAAAAAACCATCCTGTATCTTCTCCTTCCCTAAAACATTCTTCATTTTAAAAGGAAGTAAGCAAGCCAAGTGAGTTGTAACTAGGCAACACATAGGGCATTTTTTCTCTAAGAATAGTAATAGATTAAGTATTCACAGATAGATATAAGCATGTACAACAACTCTTAAGCCATTTGGAATGGTTTAGTAAATGATTATAAAAACATTTACCATATAGAAACATGTCACAGTCTATAAAAGAAACTTATGTGGTATTTACTTTTTTCCTTAATGTGCTGATAGAGATAGCAGTTATAAGGATTATAGATCCTCCCTTTCAAAAGAAAGAGACATATTCATCCCCAAACTGCAAAATTTCCATTTTATATTTAAACACTTCTAAACCAAAGTAAGCATATCTTTGCCAAAAACCCTTGATAAATCCCAGCAGAATACAAAAGGGCAGAGCATGGGTCTCACAGTATGTGTAAGCATGACAAACAGGTGCTAAATGAAGATGCTCGAAAAGAACTGAACTGATTTGTCGGCTCTAAAAACATAATGAATCTGTATATTCCTTGATGCACCTGAGCAGTATGTACTGATAAATAATACTATAAAGTGTGTTTCCAATGCCCAATCAGAGCAGCCTGTTAGGAAGGACCAAGCAGAAGGATGCCTCTAGGACTTGCCTGACATGTTACCAGCGTACTGATTGGAAGCAAGTTCAAAGTAAGGCAATGGCACCTGAACTTTGGAGAGCTGCCCCCAAATCTCCTTAACTGCACCACCTGCAGTGTTGCAGGGGGAAGAGAGCCAGCAATGTGGACTTGAGATCTGGGTATATACTATACTGCAAATTGTGATTATAAAAGGCAATGGAATTTTTTTTATAGAATGGAAGTATTGCTCACACAGACTATAGAGACTGACACTCCAGGTTTTTATTCCCTTGGCAAACAATGACTATGAAGAAGATACTTCATCTTTTGACAGTACTGGGGAATAGAAAGGCAGAATGGGAGAGGAAACCATTGATACCATGAATGAAACAAACAAACATATGAAACACACAGCAAGCAAGTCTTACACATGGTGTTCACTAGAAACTGGATTCAGAATTATATGAACTCCCAACACACTATCATCCTGTTTTCTAGGATCACCAAATATAAATACTAAAGGAGCAAGTTTGTGAGGCATTAAATCTTTTCCACCTGCCTGGTATTAGACAGGGAAGATAAAAGGGTTCCAGATAACACTGAAAGGGAACTCCCTCTAAGTAAGCTAACAGGGTGTGCTTATGGCAAACATGGGGTTAAATATCTTTTTCACTCAGCGGAACCCCACGGGAAATATCCACTATTCAGTTTTCCTCAGTACTGTGTTCATGGGCCAGGACAGCTAAAGGCAGGCAGGAATAAACCAAGCCCATTCTCCAAGGGCAGGCAAGAGAACCAAACAAAAGCACTCCCTTTCCTCTCCCCATCCAAACTGGACTTTAAAACCTATAATGAGTTTTGATCACTTAATATTTAAAAGGAGAGGGGCAAAAATAAACATGAGCCTATCAATATTTCAATGTAGAACTGATCATGTACAAAGAGCTCGCCAGCAACTTAATATTACTTTAACATTTTGAGGATTCAATCCTAATCAGACATGCTTTCCTCTCAAACTTGCATTGTGTTGCCTTGCTTAGCTAAGAAGCAGGAGGAACTCAAAATACTAAAATATCGCTTGTGCTGTATTGGCATGGAAACCTCTTCCCAGGGCTATCTATACACATCAAAATGTAAATATACCTTTCCCATATGAATCTTATAATAAGTTGAAATAAAACTTGACTTTCGTACTATTATGACACTTTAACAGTTTAGAAAAAGAGCTAACAAACTGATAAAACATGAGATCAGCTATTTCTGCATTTGCATTCCTCTGAGTCTAAAAGGAGAGGCAAATAAGAAAAGCTCAAAGTTGAAAAAAATTAGGAACAATTTGCCAGGATAAGAGTAACTTTAAGGGGTTGTCCTCTGCAAGCCCCAAGCTACACATACAACTTAGCAAAAAAAAGAAAAAGAAAAAGAAAGATGTTTGCTGCAAAGTTGAACATCAAGCAGACAACTCCCCTATTGTATACAGCTAGAGGGGAGCTCTTCCATACTGAGGCTTTTCAAGTGTTGCTTTTTTGAACAGCTAAAGAAAAGCTGAAGACATGTTTTCCAAATAGAAAGAATAACTTAGTATTGGGTTGGCCAAAGAGTACAAATTTTTCATTTTCACCAATAACTTTACTGATTTGGATATTTTGAGCACGTTGGCTATCTCCCACATGGTATAATTATTGTTCTCAATTAATGTCTTGATTTGATCGCTCTCAACTTCAACGGGTCTACCAGACCATGGAGCAGCATTCTATGAACAGTACAAAACTTCACAAAGCACTTTTGACACATTCGATCAAGTCATAGCACCTTCTCCATACACTGCAAAAAATCTGTTTTTTGCATTTAAGTGCCTTTTTACCTTTCTTAAAATAATAAAGCATAGCATGCTGAAAATGTTGCATATATTCCTCCAACTTCAATACTGAAGTGGCTATACAAAATTTCCCCAATTTTGATAAGGTTTTTTTAAATGCATGCTGTCATAATACAATCTAACAAAATTGTATGGGATGCTGTTAAAGACAAGTAAGTGCTACTAGAGCCATTGTACGGGGAAAAAAAAACTTTTTGGCAAACCCAGTACAAAGAGGAGTTGAGGACTGACTCCCTAGCAGAAAAGAACATGTTAGCTTGTCCATTGTAGTGCTATTTTTTCCTCTGATTTCATTATTCTAAGTTACAAAAAGGTGCTTTTAATTAAAAAAAGGAACTAAATATACGGTACCTGTTTAGCGTGGGGATGTTCCCTCTGTAATTAAACAACCACAGTTAGTTACTGATAGGTTAGTAAAAGCCATAATTAATAAAAGAATTGTCAGAGCAGATACAGACCAGTCATGAGGAGCTCCAATTTGGCAGCTCTGGCATTCAGCAGACACAATTAAGTGCTCATTACCCTTCAACCTCCAGGGTGCCTCCAAAGAGGCATGCCTCCTGACCTACCTCACAACAGCAGCTGTTGATGGAAAGGGTTGAAACATATTTACCACAAATTTTTTTATAGCTCTATTACAAAAAAATAATGCAGAGTAGTGATAAAACACAGGCTCATGAAGATTAATTCATGATATATTAAACTTCAACATGAAATACAATTCTGGACAAGGTTCTTATAAAATCTTTTTCTTGTTCCTATTTTACTAAAAATGTAACAAGGAGGTCTATGGAAGTTGATTCCATAGCTCCTCCCACCTTAATTGCTTTTGTAGAATATGCGATGAACCTACAAATTCTCCTCCAAAGAAAAGAAGCCAGTGGGTTCCCAAGTTGCCTTTCTAAGTCTCTTTCACCATGCTCTTCCTCCCATAGATCTGGATGGGAGAGTCCAGGTGCTGATGTTGGTGGTCGCATTGGAAAGGAGAGTATTTTATAGTCGAGGAGCTTAAAGGAACTGAAAATCATGCAGGAATGTAACGATAAATGATTCTAAGAGTGGAGTGGTGTAATATGTAAAAATTAATTAACACTTTTTAAATTAAATGAGTTTAGGGTAATAATGACTTTTAAAAATTGCTGTAAGCTTAAAAACTCTAAGCACCTCACACATAAAACCTTACCTCAGTTTGGCTAGCCCTAGATCTTCCCAATAAAGGGTGAGCCAAAATTGTAAAAGAAAGACTAGGTTAATTACTGCAAAGCCAGCCTCCTGCATTCTCGTTGGTCTCTGCCACCAACTCTTTTTGTTTCTTAATATGGTGTCAGTCATTTCCTCAACTCAAAAAAAGACAAATTAAACCCCTTATTTCCAATGTTAAGAGGGCAAAGTTATACTTACCACCCACAATTTAAGAGTGCTGTAAGGGGCTTGATTGGTTGATATCTTAACCTTCTAACATTCTTTTATCAGCATTTAATCATTGTTGGGGTTTTCTGGCACACAGAGGACTTAATGGGCAGAACATAGTGGGTGGTGGTGATGATATGTGGGAAGGAGGAGAGAGGGAGGAAAATGATGCACTTTTCGTGGCAGTGAAAGGAGCAGAATAGACTGAGCTGGCCATATAAATAAAAAGCTGTGACATATCACTGCACACAAACTGTATACCTCGTGTGATTTGTGAGTAGCAATGCTCTCTGCATCAAACCTGTATCACAGAGTGAATTCATAAGGCAGCAAGAGCAACCTCCGAGTGCAAAAACCAGCATCTTTGCTGTTTGGATTCTTTGAGCCCCTCGCCAGGGGGAATAGGTTTCATTGTACAAGACAGCATTAGTTATAATGCACTGGGCCCTCATCAACAAACAAAAAGTACACATAGGTTCTAGAGCAGAGAGGTGAAACTAAGAAAACTAAACATAGATGCTAATGAGAATATAGGAAAGTCCTCCTTCTGAGGTATAAAGGATTATAAAGAAAGCAGTCACCTGTACCATCCCTTCCCATGAACCTCATTTCAGTCAGTTCAGAAAGAAGAACCCTATAACCAAAGCAATCTCAGGCTCCATCTATCTAGGTTTCTGGAATTTAGAAACCAGTATAATCTCTCTCAACTGTTAACCAATTTCTTAAACTAATAAAATGGTCTCACTGCTTCTGTAGCTCCACTCTAATCCCTTAGGGAGTCCTCACAGGATGAGGGCCAAGTTTTCAGCAGAAAAGGGCCTGAATTGAAAAGAACACCACCAACAAAAAGCCAGCCCTCCTCCATCAGCAATTCTTAAGCTCTCATAGGGAGCCCCCTGCTGCTTTGTTATAGAAATTGTGCACCATCTACACAGTATGGGGTATGAAACACTCCCAACATCTACAGTTTTTAAAGGAATGGCACAATCAATCATGTAAGAGGCAAGCTTAGAGGCAGCTTTTCCTTTTTGGTATAATAAGAATCTGTGGGGCCAGAGGGGAGATGAGCAGGGAAGGAAGGATAAATTCTGTATTACCAGGTAAGTACTTAGCCACGTCCATAATGATCATTTATATGTATTGTTACCTTATACAGGGGTTATTGGATCAATTTAAGAATATGACCAATGTGGCATACTGCACACGCTGTGATACACTAGACAGCTAGATGCATGGTTTGCACAAAAATAAACAATCAAGGAAGAGACTGTATATGAGACAAATATTCCCATTTATGTGGCTACCACATTCCGCTCCATATCAATCATGCAAAAATTGTCCAATTGCTCGATCTCTGATAAGGCAGTCAACTGCATTTTCAAATACATGGGATATAAATTCACTTTTCATAAGACATTTGCTGTTTAGACCATTCCAAGCACTTAGGATGACTCTTCATTCACAATGTTTGATAAAATTGCCATCATTTTCCTTCCAGTAGAATAGCTCCATTTTACAGATGTACTGACTGAGAAACCAAAGGGGATGCTTTCCAAGGACATTGTTCAACATGGTGCCATAAACCAGAATCTAAACCTGGCAATTTCTCATCTCAGTTTCCACGGCCAGCATTCTACATCAATATAAAATAAATTTAAAGAAGGATGAGAGAAATCCTTTGAATTCTGAACTTCTTGGCATTAGGTCACCTCTGATTTTATTGATCTGTCTGCCTAGAATGATTGGAGAGCCTGCTTCAATATGAATGCAAAGTCAGAGTTGCTGCCTGCTAGCCGAACCCTCTTTATTTAAGGAACACTGACTTCTCTGGCAGTCACAAGTTCTCTGAGCCTTTTACCATCCCTTCCAGCTGAATCTCATTTTGCTTGATTCTCCCTGGCCCTACATAAATCTTTTATCACATAAAAATGCTCCCAATTCTTGTGCCTTCTATCTGGAAGGGGGAAAAAAGACCCTATTTGAAAATTATGGGGCTGCATGCAAACAAGCAATGGTTACACCAAGCTGTGACCAAGAGCAGTATAGGGCAAATCTTTTGAAATCAGGCAGCAAAGCAGAATCAGAAGAGGTCGGCTGAATAACCTACTAGCAGTCATCAACAGCAGTACCATAGGAGAAAGAGCAATTTGACTGGCTGTGACCAGTGGTGGTCTCTTTGCGTGACTATATTTCTGCAGGAGAATCTAAATCAAGAGCTATAAACACATCTGAACCATGTATTTCTACTGGCATCTCCTCTACCACCTGCTTGCAATTCAGATGCCCTGATTCCATTGCAGAGCTTCAGTTTACAATAAAATGATCACTGATTCATTCATTTGCATCCCCTTTAAAGCCCTTTCTTTGCTCTGCTGGACGACTTTGCTCTTTCTAAAACAGAGTATGCCACAGAGCTATAGCATATTACTGCTGCCTGTTGTATAGTTAGCTACAAACCCACAGCACAAAACTACAGGGATTTACAGGTGCCCTGGATTCTGCTTTTTCTTCCCCCTGGAATCAGCTAGTCTTCCTTGACAAGAAGGGACCTTGGGCTACTCTAATAATATATTGAGAGTTTTAAACTCGACTCTCCAACCTTACAAGTCTAGAGTGCCAAAATAACACAGCGGAGACTAGCAGCTGAGCCATGGATACAGGAAAGCACTTTGGTAAGCACTTAAACCTGCTGAGAATCTCCTCTTCTCCCAGATGCTTGCATCTTATCAGCAGACTACCCTGAATGAAAGAAGCAAGCACTGAAGGATTTTATTTATTTATAGCTCTTTCTGGCCTGCTAACTACAACCAAGTGCTCCTGCTGCTAAAAAATGCTACAAGTTGGGTGACTTTTGAGTGTCTCAGTATGATCCAAAGAAGGGTCTAATCTCTGGATGTCAAAGATTATCAGAATCCTCAAAAATGGCAGCAGGCTGCTGATTAGTCACATGGCAGGCTTCTGATTCCTGAACTTCTTCACACCTTTCTTCATAAAAAGAAGGTCCAGAGGACACACACTGGCAGCTAAATGTTGCAGGTGCCAACCAGCCTAAATATGACCAAAACATGTGCTATCAGGGAAGACTATACAGCCGACCTCTTCTGCATGTGAGACATGAAAAAATGGAAAGGACTTGAATTAAAACACTATAACAAAGAAGGCCAAATTCACAAGGAGCAAATAGCAGAAAAGGTACAATACAACTCAACTTAACTAAGGCATGGATTTCCATCTAAAAAATAGGTGGAAATAAACACCAATAGGTCCTCACCCATTACATATGCATAGAAACATACAAAATACACTTTCATCTCCTGTATCAATTTGATGCTTCTTATTTGAACCACTGATAAAGGTACTTTAAAAATGAACGATGTTTGTTAATACATACTACTCATGAAAATCATTTGGAGTTTTAAATTTTAAAGCACCAGACTGTCTTAATACATATAGCCATATGCATAGTCAGAGTTTATGGGATAATGTACTTTACATGATCGTATAAATATAGCTATATTTTAGAAGATCAAATACAGAGGCTGAGTAAACAATTTATCTGTTTCCAGATTATTCTCAGTAACTTAATATGCCCACAGCTAAGTGAAATCCTGAATGCTGAATGATTCGATGAATTGTCAAGAATAAAGACATTCAGGATGACGCTTTAGTGTAACCAACGTTTCCTTCACTCGTCCCAGTGAGTGATAAAGCAGGGTCTCAGAATGGGGAAAAAGACATATGCCCCTGGCTCTAAACCCTGAGCCTAACCAGAGAAAAACGAGAAAAAGCTTAATGATATAGTCTGGGCTCCGGGATGAATTTATGTAAAATATTGGTGGAACTCACTAAAGAGCTGGGCTGATGGAATCTTAGACAAGAGAATCAAGTCCTGAAATTCTGGATAATAATAAAATGTTCTCCTAGTGCAGACCAGCTGTCCAGACTATTTGTGCACCAAGAAAAAC